GAGAGGGAGGGAGGGAGGGAAGGGGCAAATAAAATGTTCCATCAAGTTTGAAAAGTGTATCAAACTGGTAACTAGTACTTCTCAAGTAAGTTACCCGGACTGTGATTAGGTTTTTACTTCAAATGGCCTTGTGTTATCCACTTACCCCATTTTTCGTGGAACTTCACCATGATTTTCATTTTCACGTTGAAGGAAAAATATGTTACCGCTTTCATCCATTTTTTTGTCAGGTTAGCTAGGGTACCTCAGATGATAAAAGAAGTTGCAAAAATTCTGACTGGTAATGAAGATCTTCCAGGATTTTTAAAGAATCATTTTGTTGGTCTACTCAACAGCATTGATAGAAAAATGCTCCATGCAGAGGATCTGTTATTGCAAAAACAGGCCATTACACGCATAGAAATGCTAACTAATTTGATGGGTTCCCATCTTAGCACTTATGTGCCAAAAATTATGGTTCTTCTCATGCATGCCATTAATAAAGAATGGCTTCAGGGTGCGGGTCTTTCCGTCTTGCATTTCTTCATAAAGCAACTTGCTTTGGTGTCACCTTCTAGTACCAAGCATGTGATCTCTCAAGTTTTTGCTGCTCTGATTCCTTTCTTGGAGAGAGAAAAGGAAAATTCTTCTTCAAATTTGCAAAAGATTGTTGATATCTTGGAAGAACTTGTGCTGCAGAATAAATTTGTTTTGAAACAGCATATTAGTGAGTTACCTCCCATGCCCGACATTCCTGCTCTAGCAGAAGTAAACAAAGCAATACAAGAAGCGCGTGGATTGATGTCCTTGAAAGATCAATTACGTGATGTTGTGGATGGATTGAATCATGAAAACTTGAATGTCCGATACATGGTTGCATCGGAGTTGAGCAAGTTGTTGAACCTGAAAAGGGAGGATGTCATGGCTTTGGTCACTAAGGAAGGGGATTTAGTTACAGATGTGATGAGCTCTTTGATTACATCACTCCTTAAAGGGTGTGCAGAGGAATCAAGGACCTCAGTTGGACAGCGGCTGAAATTGATATGTGCTGATTGCCTTGGAGCGCTAGGTGCTGTAGATCCTGCCAAGGTCATGGGATACACAAACACCCGGTTTAAGATTGCATGTTCTGACGATGATTTAATTTTTGAGCTGATCCATAAGCATCTAGCCAGGGCCTTCAGAGCTGCACCTGACACCATTATTCAAGATTCAGCTGCATTGGCTATTCAGGAGCTGCTAAAGTTTGCTGGTTGTGAAGCATCACTCGATGAGAATGTTTTAGGTTCACTTTCAGAGCCACAAAATAAACCAACCCTGAAGGTGTCAAAATCTTCCAAGAGATTGGATAATGACAATGAAATTTATGGAAGGGGTCAGAGATTGTGGGATCGTTTCTCTAATTATGTTAAAGAGATAATAGCACCTTGCTTGACGTCTAGATTTCAGCTTCCAAATGCAGATTTGCCATCTTCTGGTCATATTTATCGCCCTTCAATGTCTTTCAGAAGATGGATATATTTTTGGATTAAAAAATTGACAGTGCATGCTACAGGGCCTCGGTCAACTATTTTTAATGCTTGTCGAGGTATAGTGCGCCATGATATGCAAATAGCAATGTATCTTCTGCCTTATTTAGTCCTGAATGCTGTCTGTGATGGTTCTGAGGATACCCGCCATGGCATAACAGAGGAGATTCTATCAGTTCTTGATGCGGCAACTTCAGATAATAGCACTGCTGCTGTTCATGGAATTAATTCTGGGCAAAGTGAAGTCTGCATTCAAGCTGTGTTTACTCTTCTTGATAATCTAGGCCAATGGGTGGATGATGTTGAGCAAGAACTTGCCCTTTCCCAATCTCTTCAATTGTCTAATTCTAAACAACAATCAGGGAAATTGAAGGATCAGAGTACAAGTCTTCCAACAGGTTCGGACCTGGTGCTTGTCCAGTGTAGACATGTCTCTGAGCTCTTGGATGCAATTCCCAAAATGACCCTTGCCAAGGCATCTTTCAGGTGTCAGGCTTATGCCAGGTCTTTATTGTACTTTGAGTCTTACGTGCGGGAAAAGTCGGGATCATTCAATCCAGCTTCTGAAAGGAGTGGTGTCTTTGAGGATGAAGACATTTCATTTCTAATGGAAATATACAGTGGTTTAGACGAGCCAGATGGCTTATCAGGTTTGGCATGTTTACGAAAGTCAAAGAGCTTACAAGACCATCTTCTAATAAATAAAAAAGCAGGAAATTGGGCTGAAGTGTTGACTTTTTGTGAGCAGGCTTTACAGATGGAACCTACTTCTGTTCAGAGGCATTCAGATGTCCTTAACTGCTTGCTAAACATGTGCCATTTGCAGGCCATGGTTACTCATGTGGATGGATTAATTTCCAGGATTCCTCAATACAGGAAAACATGGTGCATGCAGGGTGTTCAGGCTGCATGGAGGCTTGGCAGGTGGGACTTGATGGATGAGTACCTGACTGGGGCTGATGAAGAAGGTTTACTTTGTAGCAGCTCTGAAAGCAATGCTCTCTTTGACATGGATGTTGCAAAGATTCTTCAGGCAATAATGAATAAAGATCAATTTTCAGTTGCTGAGAAAATTGCATTGTCTAAACAATCTTTGATTGCTCCTTTGGCTGCTGCTGGGATGGATTCTTATGCACGAGCGTATCCATTTGTTCTAAAGCTTCATATGCTTCGGGAGCTTGAGGATTTCAACTCTCTCCTCAATGGTGAGTCTTTCTTGGAAAGAACTTTTGATATCAGTGAACCAGAATTCTCAATAGTATTGGAAAATTGGGAAAGTCGGCTCAAACTCACTCCACCATCTCTCTGGGCAAGGGAACCCCTGTTGGCCTTCCGGAGGCTTGTTTTTGGTGCCAGTGGTCTTGGTGCTCAAGTTGGGAATTGCTGGATACAATATGCGAAGCTTTGTCGTTCAGCTGGTCACTATGAGACATCGAATCGGGCAATTTTGGAAGCCGAGGCTGCAGGTGCTCCCAATGTTTACATCGAAAAGGCTAAGCTTCTATGGAGCACTAGGCGAGCTGATGGTGCCATTGCAGAGCTGCAGCAATCCCTTCTCAACATGCCTACAGAGGTCGTTGGCTCTGCTGCTATTTCATCAATCACCAGCCTCTCAGTAGTTCCTTTGAACCCTCCACCTTTACTTTGCAATGTCGAATCTATGAATGATAATCAAGATGTAGCAAAGACACTCCTCCTATATTCCAGGTGGATTCACTACACTGGGCAAAAGCAGAAGGAAGATGTGATAAGTCTGTATTCCAGGGTGAAGGAGCTACAACCCAAGTGGGAGAAAGGATACTTCTATATGGCAAAATATTGTGATGAAGTGCTTGTTGATGCCAGAAAACGACAGGAAGATAATTCTGAGCAATCTCCCAGAGCAACTCCATCCAATTTATCTCTTGTTGCTTCTGCAAATGCAAGTACTGAGAGAAGGTGGTGGACATACCTTCCTGATGTGCTTTTATTTTATGCGAAGGGGCTTCACAGGGGCCACAAGAACCTCTTTCAGGCTCTACCAAGGTTATTAACATTGTGGTTTGAATTTGGGAGCATTTATCACAGAAGTGGTCAATCTTCCAATAAAGATATGAAGAATATCCATGGGAAGGTAGTAAGCATACCGTTAATTTTTCTCTTCATTTTCTCAACTACAATGCTTTCTTTTGTCATTCTTCCTTTTACAACGTAGGTCATGAGCATCATGAGAGGGTGTCTAAAGGATTTGCCAACTTACCAGTGGTTAACTGTTTTACCTCAATTGGTTTCAAGAATATGCCACCAAAATGAAGAAATTGTACGTTTGGTGAAGCATATCATTACTTCTATTAGTCGGCGATATNAACTGTTTTACCTCAATTGGTTTCAAGAATTTGCCACCAAAATGAAGAAACTGTCCGTTTGGTGAAGCATATCATTACTTCTATTCTTCGGCGATATCCACAACAAGCCCTTTGGACCATGGCAGCAGTTACAAAATCCACAGTTCCTACAAGGAGGGAGGCTGCTGCAGAGATTATACAAGCTGCAAGAAGAGGATCCTCTCAGGGAGGTTCCAATTCCATGTTTGTACAGTTTGCTACTCTAGTTGATCATCTAATACGGTTGTGCTTCCATCCAGGCCAATCAAAGATGAGAACAATCAATATATCAACCGAATTTAGTGCCTTGAAGAGGATGATGCCCGTGGAAATCATTATGCCAACCCAGAAATCCCTTACAGTTAATCTACCTTCATATGATGTGAATATTACTGATTCGGGAACATCTGATATCTTCTCGTACACCGATCTGCCTACAATATCTGGAATAGTGGAAGAGGCTGAGATCCTTTCCTCTCTTCAACGTCCAAAGAAAGTAAGACTTTTGAGTAGTAATCTATTTCTGTGTCCTTTTTCTTTCCCTGGTCTCTTGTTTCTTGGCCAAATCGTTAGTGTATTTTCCTATTTCCAGTTGGGGCTGCACTAAATTTACTCTGGTCAAGAAAAATAAATGGGTATTCTTAGAAATTCATTTTCTCTTATATAATAAGACTTATACATATACATCAAAGAATTGGATGGGAAAAGGAAGAATGATACTGATAAAAATGCATACCCTGCAACAAATCTCTGAAGAAGGTTTAGGCATTTAACTTCTTCCAGTCTCATAAAATTGTCATTACTTCAACATGGAGACAACTTGGTAGAGTATCCTACAGCCATTGCCAAATTCACTTCGAACATTTTAGTGATCGTCTAACAAATTACTTAAAAGACTGGCTTTGGGATATCCCCCGCCCCATTTATACCTTTATTTATTTTATTTTATTTTATTTTATTTTTAAAATTTTTTTTCTTGTAAATTCTATGAGCAAGTGGGTAAACTGGGAATTTGGACTAATGGGCTTGGTTAATCAGTTCGGGTTTGGCATAAGAAACTTGGGATAGGATGATTTCAAACAAATTTTTTTTTTTTTTTAATATTTAGACATACAGAGCGGTGTGGAGATTCCAGCCTTGGGGCAACAGTTAATGCCCGATACCGTTCGGGGTGGCGGGGCTTGGGTTTGGAGGGACAAATTGCCATCCCTAGTTTCATGGGTTACCTTTCTTCTTAGCACAGAAAGGGACACCGTGCGGCAGTAGTCTGCTCCGCTAGACTACCTTCCGCCTTCTCTCGATCGTTTCAGGACGGAAGGAAATTTGATTACAATTTAAAGAAAGCTTGCAATATAAAATTGAAATGCATTGAACATAACTTGATCATTGATTGCTTGAAAGGTAGAAATTACAATAGACGAAAGCAGGAAATTACAATGGCTAGTGCAGGGGGCGAACAGTAGAAAGTTTGAAAATTGTTTGAAAGACTAATACCCCCTATAATAAATTTAGCAACAAAAATCCAACTGACGGGAGCAGACGTTTAAAAGCTGAAGAATCATAGTAAATTTTTCTAATTTCTATCTATTTTACAATTTAAATAAATTATTACAATGTGCGGCTGAAGTTGGGCAAACTACGGCTGCGATAAGGTCACGGGGCTTAAGTAAAGCAGCGGTTCGTGACACCTAGACTGGCTTCCTGTTTAATTCAGAGTTCAGACACACATTACCACAACTTTGCTTGAAGTCAATTTCTTGCAGAATAGGTCAGGCAGGCAGAGTTGATATATGGGTTTTTAGTCTTGATGCCAATTTCTCCCCCCCCACCCCCCCTCCCGAAAAAGTCAAGACTGAAACCAAAATGGTTCATGATACAGAGAGGATGGTAGATCTAGTCATCTAGAGTGTAAAACAGAAATTAACAAGAAGAATAATTCTTATGGGAAATTTTCTGAACTACGGTGGGAGAAATTGATATCAAGGAAACAGTGATGACACATTTTCAGTTGGCTGTACTTTACAGTTTCTTGTATGTCAGGGTCCCATCTTGTTGAGAATCTCTATAGGCAAATCATTGAATCAGGCTGTACATTCTGGACATATCCTACTAGACGATATTCCAGTTATTCTGGTATTAATTAGGATGGGATGTTTCCAACATTAGATTATTCTCTGTCTTTAGAATTATTTTGCCAGCATTGAATAATTGTGTGTATATTCAATAGTAACAATGTAGAATACATCATTAATTTAACTCTTCCCTTACATCTATATTGTGTACTTCTGATTCCCTGTTCTCTTGAGAGATATGTATCGTCTGCTAGAGTATATAGGAAACTATTTTGAATCAGAAAATACTAGCACCATGTGCATTTCCTAGTTCACATTATGGACTTACAATTATTGTACGGTTTATCTGCATTTATTTTATTAGTTTCTACAAACTGGCTATACAACGGTACTAGTTACATCATCTCAGATTAAGAAATTTTAGTGGAAATGTTATTTTGGCTTATTCAGTGGATTTCTTTGGAGAAGCTTCCTAGAATGTGGTTATTGTGAGTTGTAAGATGAAAAAAATTCATATTATACTCATGCTATATTTTCTATTGCTTGCAGGTAATTCTCTTGGGTAGTGATGGACTTGAATATCCATTTCTCTGCAAGCCAAAGGATGACCTTAGGAAAGATGCCCGCATGATGGAATTCAATGCGATGATAAATCGTTTACTATCCAAAAGCCCTGAAAGTCGTAGGAGGAAGCTTTACATTCGTACTTTTGCAGTTATTCCACTGACGGAAGATTGTGGTATGGTTGAGTGGGTGCCTCACACTCGTGGCCTCCGACATATCCTCCAGGACATTTATATAAGTTGTGGAAAGTTTGATCGTCAGAAAACAAACCCTCAAATTAAGCGTACTTATGACCAATGTCAAGGCAAAATGCCAGAAGATGAAATGCTGAAAACCAAAATTTTACCAATGTTCCCTCCAGCTTTCAATAGATGGTTTTTGAACACATTTTCTGAACCAGCTGCTTGGTTCAGGGCTCGGGTTGCCTATGCACATACTACTGCAGTTTGGTCCATGGTTGGGCACATAGTGGGCCTTGGAGATCGACACGGTGAAAACATCCTTTTTGATTCTACCACAGGTGACTGTGTTCATGTTGATTTCAGTTGCTTGTTTGATAAAGGCCTGCAGTTGGAGAAGCCAGAGCTGGTGCCTTTTAGGCTGACGCAGGTAGGGGACAAATGAAATACAAATGATTACATAAAAACATGCGTAGTAGTGGCCAGCTCTGCAACAATAAATTTTTTTAGATTTACTAGAGCTTTGCTGATATTTTATGAATTTACATATTCTGTTATTGTGAATCTTAGGCAGATCTGTCAGTTGTGGCACTCCCTCTTAGTTTTACTTCATTGACCTCATATTGTGTGGACATGTAGAACATGATTGACGGGCTGGGCATTACTGGATACGAGGGAATTTTTCTTAGGGTCTGTGAGATCACACTTTCGATTCTGAGGACGCACAAGGAAACACTCATGAGTGTTCTTGAGACTTTTATTCACGATCCTCTAGTGGAATGGACAAAATCTCACAAGTCCAGTGGGGTAGAGGTTCAAAATCCTCATGCACAGGTCTGAGCCTGTATTCTCTCTTTTATTATCTGTTAAGAGCAGTTTTAAATAGGCTATATACGTTACAAGTTTGGCTGATATGACTTAATTAGATCATATGATAGCAAATTATTTTTAGATAAAAGCTAATATCCTGTGGTTGAATCTGCAGCGAGCCATCAGTAATATCGAAGCACGTTTACAAGGAGTTGTTGTTGGTGTTGGAGCAGCTCCATCTTTGCCTCTTGCTGTAGAGGGGCAAGCCCGTCGTCTGATTGCCGAAGCTATTTCTCACAAAAATCTAGGAAAGATGTATATATGGTGGATGCCTTGGTTTTAAGAGTTACAAGCAGAGTGATTGCTGTTAATTTATCGGTATTTGCCTTCTTGTCTTGGCTTTATTTATTATCTTAATTTTACTGTTGACTCATGTTGTTGGTATTCTTGAACTTAATTTATTATGATTTTCAGGGCATAGTCTTTGTTGTACGAGCTAACAGCCTAGTTTGTTTTGAAGAGCTATTTTTCATTTCATGTGCATCATTGATCATTCTAAATTCCTAGTACTTTATTATGCCATTATTTTAAGAAAATCTAGCAATATAAGTTGGTAAAATGCGTGTTGCAAATGCAAAGTCTGACCTATGAAGTTTTTTACATGTACGACTCCACATAGCAATACATCGACACTTCTGGGCACTAGTGAATCAGAAGAAATCATGTGAAGTAGAATGTTTATATTTAAGCATGTCAGCTAGTCTAATCCTACCTGTAAATCTGATGCTTACTGTGTTGTGTTGGAAAAATGATGACCTTATGTATTGCTATTCATATTTTGCAGCTGAGTTGAAGTTACTTCCTGGATATGCTGGCTGGCAGTAGGTAACTTCATCGTGCATATCTGTTTTAACTCATTGAGAGGTTTCAAAATGACATATTTGCCTTGACTAAGTCCTTGTACTAAATCGAGAATATGACAATAGCACTGGTAATGTCATTTTTGATTTGGGGATGAGACAGTATCTTAAGCAATATACAATTTTATCAGCGTGGTCATATAAAAACAACTGTGGGACTGACTATTTGTCTACTCTTGCATTGTTGGATAAGTTGCAATTTTGAGCCTTCAAAATCTGGTAACCTTTTGTTAGAGTTCAAGGATTTGTGCCCACTTATCTGCTTTATATTTTAAAAATCAAATTCTGTTGCAAAATAATAGTCTAATATTCTGAGTCACTTATACCTGTTTATATGCTACAGATTTGATATTCTTATTTTTTGTTATTTGATAATGACAGGAATGGCAAAGAAAGATTCTTTTTAACTGAGAGGAGCTATATAGCTAGATATTGACAAGCACTACTCGACCTCTGAAACGTTTTATGTGACATGTTTTGATTCTTGTCACCACCCACAAGAGCAACTGACACTAAAAGCATACTTGGTATGGATAGTACTCAAGACAATATTAAAGCACAGAAGTAGCTTACTCTTGGTTATTATGTTGTCTAGTACTACCAAAATTGCATTAAGAACGCCATAGCTTCGGGTTCTGGCATTCTGTGTAGACTGGAAAACAAGTTATTTTGTCAACACATTGCAACGTTCTCTGGGGTATCAGCTTTTGCAGAATCATCTGGTGAACCATATTCATTTGGAGGTAATTTGCATAACCATTCCTTGAAAACTTTTCCTTTTGCATTAAGACATCCAATATTCTTTTGATAAATTCTCATTGGTAATGTCAGCCACAGCATCATCTGTTTTGCCAAACCTTTGACAGGGGATTTACCTCTCTCAACATTGCTTTCCAGAGCCCCACACCACCAGAATTTCAGCCGGAGCCATCTGATTTCCAGCAATAAATCTCAGTTGCATCTCACCAAACCATTGTAAGAGAATCAAATATGCACTAATCAAATGCATTCCATGCAAATCCAACTTCAACTCCAAAGACTCTCGTTCCATGGACTGATCCAGAACAGATGACTTCACCAATTCCGTCACCAAATCAGCTTCATCTTTATTCTAGTTATCCACTAACTCTTTGATTGACAACATTGAGGTAATTTCTGGGCACGAAGTCAAGACTGAATTATAAGTTCTAATCGATGGCGAAATTCCGGAGTGTCTGATTTTTTTAAGCCTAAAAACCATGTCCAAAAGCTTCTTGTGAGCACCAAATGGTGAAACTACCATATTACAACAAACTCTATCCAATTTAAACCCTTCATTTTCCATTTGAACTATGCTTCTTTTCTTGTCTTCAAAGGATCCCAATCTCCCATACCTGCTAATTACAGACCTAATCTCAAAAAGAGATGGTTTGTATCCTTTACGCTTCACATAGAGGATGACTGCAAAATGAACTGCTCTAATTCTTTGCAAGAATCCACAGCCTCTCTCTCTCTGATTTGTGCTTGGCGTGTGAATCCACCAAGTTACTGTAAAAGTTACACAAATATCTTTCCTTGAATCCTGATTCTGCAACTGCTTCAGAAAATAAATCTTCTGCCTCATCGAACCTTTCCTGCCAATATAACAAAGAAATCAAGTCTGCCACTAGCTTAGTGTTCCAACTGAACCACGATTCTTGACTGATTAGTACAATTGCAAGCCTAGGTAAAATGTAATGGTATTTACTTGAACCATCAATGTAAAAGAAAGAATAGGAAGAAAATCTGGTAGTCAGCCTATTATACAGTTAATTCATTTTGATTATGAATTTTTTATGTTCCAAATTAGTCATTGAACTGTCATTTATATGAAGAGTCTAGACATCTTTTCTATTTGTATACTATACTAGCAAAAATGTTAGTGAACAAAAACTTGTTAAGTGTCAATTTTACCAACCAATCGGATAAGTGTAGTCTTGTTGGGTTGGTTACCCTTTTTAATGCCCTTTTATGGGGATTGAGGAAGAAGATTAAGATGTGTATATAAGAAGAGTAATGTTATTTAGTTCAATTGGAGTTACAACTTCAGTCTAGATGATGTTAAATAATATGTGAAATTAAATGTCGCCACTTAGACCCCAATGGGGGCTAAATAGCATTACTCATATAAGAATGTTGTAATCTTCTTTCTCAACGGTTGCAATACCCCTCTCCTACTACCATTGCTTTTTAACTGTTTTGTGAGCATTAGCAGATGAAGATAGACAGAGTGCTTAGTCTAACAAGTTTTTACCGTGTTGTGAAAAAAATTTGCCGATGTACGAAAATAGTTGATCTGAATAGCAAAATCGTTTAATATAGGAGATGAACATGAGAGGGCGAGAGTACATGCATGGAAGGAGAGAGAGGAGAGGCGGGGGTGGTTGGTGTCGAGGGGAAGAAGAGATGGGATAGAGTATTGAGAGCCACATATTTGGAAGATGAGCTACAAATTTGCAGAATAAGCTAATGGAGGCTGAATGGTGGCGATGGAGGAGATAAAGCGGTGGCCCTGTTTGGCGAGATAACAGAATAGCGGTGGAAATTGCCAGCTCCAACAGCAGTCGGCAGTTGCACTATTTTATTACTTTTACCCATGGCCATTGAATTTAACCTCCCTTTTGGCTTCCTCTATGTGTCTTATTTTGATTATTCTTATTTTTGTTGTGCCATGCCAAACATACTTTCCTCTTTTGTGGTAACAATAAATTAAAATTGTGGTGGTAATGCAATCATCACTTCTCAAAATGAAGTAAATGGCTTGACAGTTTTCTTGTGGAGCTCACATGGAATGGATGAAAACCAATGTAAGGTACTAACGTTGTTAATTTATGGGAAGGTTGTGGACAATAATAAGAAAACGTTGGTCAACGAAAAGATCGCAGCTTCCCACAAAGTTTGTGACCATATACAACTTACCTTTACAATAAAATTACTTATAAATGCTTTAAAACATTAGTAATCTTGTAAATTATATAATAATTACTGAATGATAATTATATCACTGCAACCTAATTTTTATGACTATTATATCACTTGCTGTCCCAATTATTCCCTATTAATAGAGTGCTTTGGTTTTCAATAAAACATGTACAAGTCTAATGATTTCTCTAATATCTTTTCCTACGTTCTTGGTCGAGTTTGGTATTTAAAGGATTCCAAAAAGATTGCGTTGAATTGTTACCAAAACAAAAATAAGGAAAATTTGATATTTTCCCTTTTAGACTTGAGGCGCGCCCAGTGCAACCTAGGGCAAACGCCTTGGGGGGTTTGGAAGCTTCAGACGAGGCATTTTTGGTCTGGGGCGTGCGCCTCTTCTGCAGGTGAGGGCATGTGCCTCGCCTAATTTTCGACAACTGAACAACTTTTAATATTTTTGTCATAACTTTCTTTCTTGATAGTTGATTGAGGCGATTCAAGATCCGTTGGAAAGATAACTCGAAGGGATACAATGTTTCTTCAGATAATCAAAATGCGTTGGAAGTTAAATCAAAGGGTTACAACTTTTCTCAAATATCATCTTCCAATTCGATCATTAGACATATCAAAAATGGGTCTCAATATGAGGCTGAAAACTGGTGCATAACTTTTTCGATTGGAAATTGATGTGTGATCATACTTTAACGATATTTCATCCCTTTGATGTCTTCTTTCATTCAATTGACTCCCAACATTCTCAAATCATCATCGTGAGGTTCCACATAACTTTTGAGTATTTACATTTCGGTCCCCAAACTTTGTTTTCTTTCCTTTTGGCCCTTGTTCGCTTATTTCTTTCAAATTACGCCATATTCATATAATTGTCACCTAAATCAAAATATGAACGTAATAAATACATTTTGCCACCAATTAATTATACGAGTACATAAAATAAAGAGCGAAAAATATGTATTTACATTTCTATCACAAAATTTGGTGTGTGCTGTCGCAGGCACCCAAAAGTAATATCTTAACCTCTAAAACTGATGTAGTAGTGGAAGTAAGGGTCGATCCCACTAAAAGTGTGTAATTAAATATTTTATACTTCGAACAATCATTGGGAGGTTTTATTTGTAATGAAATCAATCTTATAATTAATAGCAATGTAAATTAACGAGTTGTATTAAATCAATAAAATGAATCTTGATCTAAGTCAACTTCCACCATTGAAGATTTATAACCAACCATTGATCCACAAAGAATAACAGTCAACATTCTTAGTATTCACCGTTGGAAATAATTCATATTTGTCCTTAATTTTAGTTAGATAGAAATCAGCGTTCTAATTAATCCTAATTATTAAACAACCCCAGACCAGGGCTAAAGATTCAATTTAATAACAACTGTGCACAATAGAAAAATCGATGAACTAGATAACATAAACACTAAAAATTGCATTCAATCTATTTAAACATTTTTCTTAAGATTCAATAACCTGTATCACAGAAAATCATCAAATCCTAGTACTTTACAAGTTAAAGGAATCAAACAATTACGGATTTGAAATGTAACTTAGCTACATATTGCAATGCATGAGAAGCTAATAGGCCTTTTTAGCTATCAAGCATGTCAACCATATAATTACGCTCAAACGAACATTCAATACCGAAAATATAGATTAAACAATGAAACTAGATGGACCTAACAGTTATAATGTTTCCAAGGTTTCGGTATCCTTCGATCAAGCACCAAGAATTAGTTACAATTCATAAATTTATGAGCAAAATAATGAAGAATGATGTTTGGAGCCTTCTTTCTACGTTCTTGGTCGAGTTTGGTATTTAAAGAATGCTAAAAAAATTGCATTGAATTGTTACCAAAACAAAAATAAGGAAAATTGGATCTTTTCCCTTTTAGCCTTGCGGCCCGTGCCTAGTGCAACCTAGGGCAAGTGCCTTGGGGGATTTGGAAGCCTCAGATGAGGCATTTTGGTTTGGGGCATGTACCTCTTCTGCAGGAGATGGCGTGCGCCTCACCTAATTTCCGGCAGCAAAATAGCTCTCAATATTTTTATCATAACGTTCTTTCCTAATACCCGATTGAGGCAATTCAAGATATGTTGGAAAGACAACTCAAAGGGGTACAACTTTGATTCATTTATAATCTTCCAAGTCGCTCGTATTCCATGTCAAACATAGGTCTCAATATGAGGCTGAAAACTGGTGCATAACGTTTTCGATTGGAAATTGATGTGTGATCATACTTTGACGATATTTCATCCCTTTGATGTCTTCTTTCATCCAATTGACTCCTAACACTTTCAAATCTTCATCGCGAGGTTCCACATAACTTTTGAGTATTTGCATTTCGATCCCTAAACTTCATTTTATTTTCTTTTGGTCCTTGTTCGTTTATTTCTTCCAAATTACGCCATATTCATATAATTGTCTCCTAAATCAAATTATGAACGTAATAAGTATATTTTGGAACTGATTAATCATACGAGCACATAAAATAAGGAGGTAAAAATATGTATTTTACATTCCTATCAAATTCCTCAACACTTAGGTTTTGCTCGTCCTCAGTCTTAACTCAGGTTTAATTCCCCAAAAACACCCAGGTCGTAATGCCATGAATATAGAACCATCAAACCTTTTCAAAATACATAAGATATCATGAATAAACATTCCTACACAAATCATAATCAATTAGCAAGCATTTTTATATGAAATGGAGTAAACTAAACATGTAGACCCTCATGCATATAAGCACTCAACTCTCATGTGTTTAAAAGGTAAGTGTTTTGCTCAAATTCATTCCAATTGAGATGCTCTATTGTATGCTTGCATATCTTCTCATTTGTCACCACTTATGTCACATGCTTAACAAGAATCATAAGGATTTTTCAGGAGTTGTAATGTGACTTAGGGTCAAGGTGGGAAATATTTGGGTATGTGACTCAAGAGCCATCGAAAATAGTGAAGCAAAGATGAACGGACATAGCTCAAATATAGACATAAGACATGTAAAACCAACCACTACACATGATAGCTTTTTCACTTCGCATCTATCCTACACAAACTGAATTCTTTCTTGAGATGTAGGAAGAGTTATGAATATAGAGTTATGATTTTTTAATTCTATCATTCATTTTTTCTCTCTTTTTTATGCAATATATAAACTCCAAATGTTACACCAACAATGAAACTCCATAAATTGACATAGAAAGTTTGTTCCAATTCACCAATTATAGCACTATCAAAAATATTGATACCCCACGCTTATTTCTTTGCACATTTACACATATCATGATATTGAACAATACTCCACTAGCTCTGGGTAAAGACGTTTTTCCTGTTTAAAGCTTGTAACATCGGTTTATAAAAAGAAAAGGCAATAAGGCTGAAAGGGGTTCACCAAAGGAAAATTCAATTACATGGTAGACTATTTGGCGAATGTAGCTAATTTATGTAATAAAAATTGCAAGCCTAGGTAAAATGTAATAGTATTTACTTGAACCATCAATGTAAAAGAAAGAATGGGAAGAAAATCTGGTAGTCATCCTACTTATACAGTTAATTCATTTTGATTATGAAACAATTTTTTATGTTCCAAATTAGTCATTGAACTGTCATTTATATGAAGAGTCTAGACATCTTTTCTATT